CGGTCAGATGGCTGGGAATGGGATCATATGGCTGGGAATGGGATCATATGGCTGGGAATGGGGTCATATGGCTGGGAATGGGATCATATGGCTGGGAATGGGATCATATGGCTGGGAATGGGATCATATGGCTGGGAATGGGATCATATGGCTGGGAATGGGGTCATATGGCTGGGAATAAGATCATATGGCTGGGAATGGGATCATATGGCTGGGAATGGGGTCATATGGCTGGGAATGGGATCATATGGCTGGGAATGGGATCATATGGCTGGGAATGGGATCATATGGCTGGGAATGGGATCATATGGCTGGGAATGGGATCATATGGCTGGGAATGGGGTCATATGGCTGGGAATGGGATCATATGGCTGGGAATGGGGTCATATGGCTGGGAATGGGATCATATGGCTGGGAATGGGGTCATATGGCTGGGAATGGGATCATATGGCTGGGAATGGGATCATATGGCTGGGAATGGGGTCATATGGCTGGGAATGGGATCATATGGCTGGGAATGGGGTCATATGGCTGGGAATGGGGTCATATGGCTGGGAATGGGATCATATGGCTGGGAATGGGGTCATATGGCTGGGAATGGGATCATATGGCTGGGAATGGGATCATATGGCTGGGAATGGGATCATATGGTTGCGAATGGGATCATATGGCTGGGAATGGGGTCATATGGCTGGGAATGGTATCAGATGGCTGGGAATGGGATCATATGGCTGGGAATGGGATCATATGGCTGGGAATGGGATCATATGGCTGGGAATGGGATCATATGGCTGGGAATGGGGTCATATGGCTGGGAATGGGATCATATGGCTGGGAATGGGATCATATGGCTGGGAATGGGATCATATGGCTGGGAATGGGATCATATGGCTGGGAATGGGGTCATATGGCTGGGAATGGGATCATATGGCTGGGAATGGGATCATATGGCTGGGAATGGGATCATATGGCTGGGAATGGGATCATATGGCTGGGAATGGGATCATATGGCTGGGAATGGGATCATATGGCTGGGAATGGGATCATATGGCTGGGAATGGGATCATATGGCTGGGAATGGGATCATATGGCTGGGAATGGGATCATATGGCTGGGAATGGGATCATATGGCTGGGAATGGGATCATATGGCTGGGAATGGGATCATATGGCTGGGAATGGGATCATATGGCTGGGAATGGGATCATATGGCTGGGAATGCGGTCAGATGGCTGGGAATGGGATCATATGGCTGGGAATGGGATCATATGGCTGGGAATGGGGTCATATGGCTGGGAATGGGATCATATGGCTGGGAATGGGATCATATGGCTGGGAATGCGGTCAGATGGCTGGGAATGGGATCATATGGCTGGGAATGGGATCATATGGCTGGGAATGGGGTCATATGGCTGGGAATGGGATCATATGGCTGGGAATGGGATCATATGGCTGGGAATGGGATCATATGGCTGGGAATGGGATCATATGGCTGGGAATGGGATCATATGGCTGGGAATGGGATCATATGGCTGGGAATGCGGTCAGATGGCTGGGAATGGGATCATATGGCTGGGAATGGGATCATATGGCTGGGAATGGGGTCATATGGCTGGGAATGGGATCATATGGCTGGGAATGGGATCATATGGCTGGGAATGGGGTCATATGGCTGGGAATGGGATCATATGGCTGGGAATGGGGTCATATGGCTGGGAATGGGATCATATGGCTGGGAATGGGATCATATGGCTGGGAATGGGGTCATATGGCTGGGAATGGGATCATATGGCTGGGAATGGGATCATATGGCTGGGAATGGGGTCATATGGCTGGGAATGGGATCATATGGCTGGGAATGGGATCATATGTGATCATGGGAATGGGGTCAAGGGTTGGGATTAGGAGTGGGATCGTCACAATGTGATTGTGGTAATGGTTAAAGAAAATGGGTGTATGAGATAAGGTCGTACGAGTGGGATAATAAGAATGGGATTGTGTGAGTGGATTTATGAGAATACGGAATCGTATAAAAAAAAAAAAAAAAAAAAAAAGGGATAATGGAAATTGGACTACGAGAATAGGATCAAGTGGTTGGGATGAGGAGAAAGGTGTCATAAAAGCGTGAAGGTATGAACTTGATTGTGGAAAACAGTCTGGAAAATAAGAATGGATGGATGGTAACATGAACGGAGATGAGCGAACATGCATATCATGCACACATAAAGACGCAGACATAGGGGAATGCATAGGGTAACGCTGGCAGGGCATTGTATAAGTTACACTTAAAGAGAGTGACACACACTGTGTACGTGTGGAATACAAGCAATGGGGAAATGCAGACGCATGAACACAGCATGCTATACCAACACTACCACACACACCAGTGCGCATGTGGCACACAGGGCAAACTGACAAAATGGCAAATGTTTGTGAGAATGGCAAATGGATTTTGCATGTCAAATGACGACGGTTCGTTCAGTGGACTGAAAGAAGGATGTACACCTTCAGATAATAACGAGAGTGTCACGACGGAGAACATGGCAATGGAATTGGCATTGGCAGTGGCGTCGGCATTGGCATGGCATTGACATGGCATTAGCATAGCATTGGTATGGCATTGGCATGGTATTGGCATGGCACTAGCATGGCATTGGCATGGCACTAGCATGGCATTGGCATTGCATTAGCATGGCATTGGCATTGCATTAGCATGGCATTGGCATTGCATTGGCATGGCATTGGCATTGCATTAGCATGTCATTGGCATTGCATTAGCATGGCATTGGCATTGCATTAGCATGGCATTGGCATTGCATTGGCATGGCACTGGCATTGCGTTGGCATGACATTGGCATTGCATTGGCATGGCATTGGCATTGCATTGGCATGGCATTGGCATTGCATTGGCATGGCATTGGCATTGCATTGGCATGGCATTAGCATGGCATTGGCATGGCAAAGGGTCCGGCTGCTGCAAAGGCAGACAGTCACAGGGCAGGCATGGATGTTGAAAAGCAATCAGTGAAACGGAGAGGGGGGAGTGGGAAGAGTAGAAGGGAAGGCTTATCACATGTGGCCAGTCCTGAGCGATACGAGTCGTGGGGCAGAGGGGGAGTCACACTGCCATATCACTGCCATATCACTGCCATATCACTGCCATATCACTGCCATATCACTGCCATCTCACTGCCATCTCACTCCAGGGTTACCAACATGGCAGACGTGGCAGGCATGGCAGGCATGGCAGGCATGGTAGGCATGGCAGGCATGGTAGGCATGGCAGGCATGGCAGGCATGGCAGGCATGGCAGGCATGGCAGGCATGGCAGGCATGGTAGGCATGGTAGGCATGGTAGGCATGGTAGGCATGGTAGGCATGGTAGGCATGGTAGGCATGGCAGGCATGGCAGGCATGGCAGGCATGGCAGGCATGGTAGGCATGGCAGGCATGGCAAGCATGGTAAGCATGGTAGGCATGGCAGGCATGGCAGGCATGGCAGGCATGGCAGGCATGGCAGGCATGGCAGGCATGGTAGGCATGGCAGGCATGGTAGGCATGGTAGGCATGGTAGGCATGGTAGGCATGGTAGGCATGGCAGGCATGGCAGGCATGGTAGGCATGGTAGGCATGGTAGGCATGGTAGGCATGGTAGGCATGGTAGGCATGGTAGGCATGGCAGACATGGCAGACATGGCACGGACTGGAGAGGTTGGTGGAGGAGAGAAGTGTGCAGGTGGATGGACAAGTGTCCCGATGCACGGGGTAGCAGTGTTGGAAGGAAGTGGCAGAGAGAAAAAGATGCATTGAGAAAGGCAACGGCGATTGATAAGAAGAATCGCAGGGAATCATTGTGAACAAAAATGGGCGGAAGAGCGACGCTCTGGGGAAAATGGCAATGGAAATTGGGTGAAATTGGCCATGACCTTTGACTGGGGAATGACAATGGCAAGCTCACTGTACGGAATGTAGTGGGAATTGATTGGAACAAGCACAATGGGAAGCTGCCGAGATAAATGCAAACGACAGTCTGATTGGGAAAATGCCAATGCCAGAAATCTCAGCAAATGACAATAAAAAACGATAGGGAAAATGAAAAATATATGAGAGATTGTGAACAAGAGGAAGGCGAGATGATATGCAGTTGATTGGTTTAACTGGATCTTAGTATGGAAAATGGCCATGAGTATTTTCCTACAGAAAATGACTACGGAAATGGATTGGAAACATGACTTCACTTCCCTTTTCCTCCAACACCCACTTGCATAGAGAGACTAAACCATGCTAGGAATGCAATGAAGCTGAACTGGAACCAAACCCCTAAAGTTTGGATGGGGATTTTTTTTCTTTTCTTTTTTTCCTTTTTTTTTTTTTGCAGCAGATCCATCGCCATGTCCAGCCATCAGCCTCCCCACAGGCCGCCCTCCAGCTGGCCACATGCCTCCACCTCTCCTGCCATCTCTCCCACAACATCCTGCCACCAGCCTCCACCGATGATGCTCATCCCGGGTGGGCCTGGGTGTCCGCTTGTGGGCTTTCCAGCTAGGGTGGGAAAGGGCGAGCACAAGAGGGTGGGGGACAGGGGGATGCACTCGCATAGACTACGGTACTCACTTAAAATGTCTATTCGATCACTCAGGGTTAAATTGTTCCCCCACTCTCCTTCGCTGCATGTCGCTGCAAGTAGGAGTCACATACATTCATGTGTTCTTCCCCACAAACCTGCCCCCCCACCCTTCCCTGCCTCCCATCAGGTGGGAATTGCCCCAACCCAGCCCAGGTTAGGAGTGCTGCTAGTGCATGTGGCCATGGCTGTCAATGCTACTGAGGTGACAATCACAGCCATGCAACTCCTGGCGCCTTTTAAATAGTTCCGCAATTGATACCGTAGTTTTCATAACACAAGCCCTTCGGGCGAATGCGAGTCATCAACGCTATCGGTGTGGAATATCCAGTTACTTCAACACACAAGCAAGGTACCGTATTACGTATGGTACTGCATTACAGTACGTATAAATCTAACATCTGCCTTCTGCTCCAGGGGAGCACAGACCAATCAACGTCAGTGAGCTGGTCACACTCCTCCACATCCAGCAGCTGCAACGCCTTGAGCTCACTCAGATCAGCTGGCAGCGCCTGCAGCCGCGCACAGCCACTCAACTCAAGAGTCCTGAGCCGTGCAAGCCGTGAGAAGTTGGGACACAGGGAGCGGATGGAGCAGTGCAGAATCGACAGGTCGTTCCGGCAGGCAAGCTGGGTGAAAGAGGCGGGCAGATGCTCCAGCTGCGTGCAGCGAAAGAGCAGCAGCTCCCGCAGCCGGGATAAGGAGCCGATGTCACGCGGCAGAGAAGGCAGTTTGGGCGCCACGCGAACCTCCAAGGACGTCAGACTCTGCAGCGCCGTGACACTCGCTGGCAGCTCCCTCAACTCGCCCACACGGGCCAGCGTCAGCTTCCGCAGCTGCGGCAGTGCTGACCCGAAATCAGCCGGCAGCCTTTGGAGATTCATGGCGTTGTCAATATGCAGGGAGCGCAGCTGAGAAAGGAAGGTCACGGCGAAGGGAAGCTCCTCAGCATCGCCGAGCCCACGTGCGGCCACGGCAACCCTGATCAGGGAAAGCTCCCGAAGACCTGTCAGCCTGGAGACGTCTGGCAGAACCATCGCCTGCCTGTCGCTTCCCCAGCTGAGCGCTTCAAGCGAAGCGGGCAGGAGTGGATCGGGACGTGTGAGGTCGCCACATGTGGCCACCTTAAGCTGCTTGAGCCTCGTCAGGCCGTCCCACCTTGTGGGCACGGAGGTGAGACTTGCGCAGTTCGAGAGTGTGAGAGCTTCAAGGGCAGTCAGGCATGTCAGCGATGCTGGAACGGGCGGAGACGTTAGACGAGAGCAGGAGGAGACGTGCAGGTCGCGCAGGTTGCTCAGCTCTCCCACGCCCTCTGGCAGCTCCTCCACTCCGCACTGGTGAAGCGATAGGCTGGTCAGGGAAGAGATCTCGGTTAACGAGCATGGGAGATGCCGCTGCTGCAAGCTCTCTGTCAGAAGAAGCGTGTGGAGGTTACTCAGGCGTCCTATGTCCGCTGGAAGCGCCACTCGCCCGAGGCAGCAAGGCAGCAGAAGCCTGCTGGCAGCTCGCGGATTGACTCGCACGAGAGCAGGGAGAAGGTTTTCAGGGAGCTGAGCTGGCACACGGAGTCAGGCAGGCTCGTAAACGGCAGCCTTTCCAAGCCCAGAGTTTTCAGGGAAGACAGGCTCCCAATGTTTTCAGGTAGGCAGCGAAGTTGGTCGCAGCTGGAGAGTAACAAGGTCTCGAGATGCTTCAGGGAACAGAAACTTTCTGGTAGCTCCTCCAAGAGACGGCAGTCGAAAATGGTCACCTCACGAATGCGCGGCAGCGATTCCGCAAAGTTGTCCGGAAGCCGCTTCAGTTCATCGCAATAGGAGATCTGCAGCCGTTCCAGACTTGTGCATGGCCAATCGGACAGCAACAGCTGGCAGGTACTCCACGATTTGATCAACGGTAGCTGTGCGATGGTGAACACAGGCGAGCTCGGATCACCAAGAGAAAACCTGGTGTGGAAAGACATTGAAAGGTTAGTGATGCTGGGAAGACGACGCACGTTGGAGAGCTGCTTATCGCTCAACTTCGAGGAAACAATGTGGAGAGTTGTGAGAGAGGCGAGGTTTCCCAGATCTGGAGCTTCCAAGGCGGAGGCAGCTGTTAACGCCAGGGTGTGAAGACGCGTTAGCTGGAAGAAGGAAGGCGGTAGGTCAGCGTCTCGATGGAGGCAGAGCAGTGAAAGCTGCTCCAGCTGAGTGCATCGCTAAAAGAAGCGATCCAGACCAGCTTCGGTGATCGGGTGCAGGTGCTTCCCCCGGGCATCAATCAGACGCTGCGTGATCGCGCGTCCCACCGTGGAGAATCGTGAGCTTCGGACACGACGATGCGAGGTGAGCGAGGAAAGCGTCGCCTAGGTTATCCATGCTGCCGTTGCAGAGACGGAGATGGGTGAGGTTTGGGAAGCAAGCGACAGCATGAGAGACATGATGTAGGGAAATAGCATGCTTTTGTTCGACGAGGAGGGTGGAGACGTCACGCTGAGCTACATCGCGCCAACGTCGGCACACTAACGACACGAGGAAGATCTTGGCAGCGTTTGGAACGGCGGAGGGAGTTGGAAGTGGAAACGTTTCTTCGTCGAGACGGTAAGCGTTGTCTGAAACGATCGCACAAACGTGCAACGGCTTCGGCTTCAATGCGTGAGAGTCGGAATTCCTAGATGTGAGCGATAGTATCCTAGCGAGGACGTCGCTGGGAAGGTTGTTGATATGCGTTGCTGACCTCATCGTCTTGTGAGGGATCATGGTTGAGCGAGGATAAGAGGAGCGGATGCAGCAACCTTGAAGCCTAGCCTGAGTTGGAAAAACGAGAGTCGCGTAACAGCAGTCAGGGGGAATGAAAAATGGAGGTTTATGGAAAAGCGGTGAGAGGCAATACCCGAAAGATGAAAGATGACAGTAATGGAGACGAGGGGATACTGTACGAGTGAACTGGGGAAATGGTTGAGAATTCAGAGATTCATGTGTGCGGTGCAAGGTGTAGGAGGGATGTGGTGGTGCCTCGCAAGGGCAAGGAGGGTGGGGCTTCCAAGGTGACACGGGCTTGGGGGGAGGGGTTTGGCTTGGCGAACGACAGCACGTCTTGAGCGAACTGCTGCGATCAAGGGAATGGGTGTGGAGCGGATGAGGGAATGCTTCGTGACGGACAGAACAGCACTCTCGTGACATGAGAGGGGGATTCGACGGTGTTGCTTTCCTAAAGGTATCCGCCAGCCAACTAGGGTTACCAGGACTACAATTACAAGAGCAGCACGAAGGAGGTTTTGCAATGTTTCGCTAGGTGTTACAGTAGATTCGAGTCCGATAATTATGGTACGGTTGAGTACGACTCCCGGCGGTAAATGCGCAGTCAGGCTTCTATGCCGATCTTCCAGCCTATGCTGTTTTACCTTCTGCGACTGTCACTGCCTAGAATCGGAGAAGCTGACGGCCATTGTTAGTATCAATTCGTGTCTTAGGTATAGGGGGTTCAGTGCTTGCGTCGTGAATCGTCGTCTCGCACAATTGTGGTTACCCGATCAGGTGCACGCGGCGTTTTACGTCCGCCTCAATGACACCTCCGCCGCGACTCGGCATTGAAAATGTACATCGTAACCGAGTTGTTTCGACTTGCGTTTTTATCGAATGAATCTTGCGATGTCAGCTGTTTCGGCGAATCCAGTGGTCTCATGACTCGGTTTCTGGGAATAGGCCATCTCAGCGATTCCGGTTACAATTCTCATCGGATGATCTATTTCAGCGAGCATCAGCCTTTTTTCCTCGCCGCCTTCTCCCCTTCCTCTCATCTCCTCTTACGCTCGTTTCGGCCGTCCAGATGACACCTCTGCCATTCTCGCCGCCATTTGTGTGTTCGATATTGCCACGTCCCACACGTGACCCGTAAATCTGGCACACGCAACCTTCGATGCGCGGTGGTTTGATTGTGCCTACGCTGAAGAATGTTCCCTTTTCCCTTATTCCCTGTCGGTATGTGTACTGCCAATCATCCGCGCTGAAGTAGCTGTGGTTGTTTTGAGTTGGAATGTACAGTTGCCATGTTCACTCCTCCTGGCCGTTCGACGCTGACCCTCCTCTTGTCACAAGTGGTGTTTGTTGTCTCATTTAAAACGAAACTACTCAATTCAAATTGATTCAATCGCATGTATCTAATCTCCCTCAGCCTTCCCTGCCTGAATTTCTCTAGACAATCGGCACCCCCTCGCCGTCCCCCTCTTGGTACCACCACTCTTGCGGTGCATAGCAGACGATCAGCCAGAAACACCTATTATTCATGGCGCATCAGCACCGCTCTCCCATCCAGCAGTACGCCCACATCCAGCAGTACGTCCGCTGCTCCCATCTACTTCTTTCTCAAACATGCGCTTTCTTTTCTCTTTGCAGCGCCACCTTTTCTTCCTTCTCCCAGCTTTATATTAAATTTGCTCTTTTCGCCGTCCCCCCTCCCTATTATCTCCTCTCCCCCACTCCCTCCCATCCCACCCACGTTTCAGCCTATCGCTTTCGAAGCCACAGCCACCAGCACGAGCAGTAGCAGCAGCGTCAGCAGCAGCGGAGGCGTCAGCAGCAGCGGAGGCGTCAGCAGCAGCGGAGGCGTCAGCAGCAGGGGGGATGGCAGCGTCAGTGTCGCCTCCTTCGTGGGCCCACACCACACGGGCTGGCGGGAGTGGTGCTGATTGCGCCTGCTGCGGCAGGAAGGGTGGATCTGAAACTTCCCCCAGAGCACATGTTTTGACCTGTGTGCCAAAAAGGCTCATGGCGCCATCCGCACATGTTTCTAGCGGTCTGTCACTACGAAGGCATAAGAAGGTCAGTGTAGTGTCGTGAAGCGTGTTAGCCCACGGCCTGGTGTGGCAGGCCTGTTTGTGGTTCGTCTTGACTCGCTGCTACTCGTCATGGAGGGAGGAGAGCATCATGGAAGCCACCTTCCCGTTCCTGCACGTCAGTTGAATTGAAGCACATCCGCCTGGAGGAATGCGAAACATTCTTCACCATTGGTGGTGATCTCCTCAGCTCGCCACCTGCATCACGTTCATTAACGACAGGTCCTTTGATTATCGGACACTCTCTGCTCTCACTGACCCTTTGCCTTCCCTCTGCGCCAAAACCGTTATCTTTGGCTGCCTCGACTCGACCATCACCCTCGTCTTTCCCCCCTTTCCTCTTCCCCTCCCTCTCTTGCCATCCAGACAAGCTTTGGTTGTCCTCGCCGCTTATACATGCCCATCGTGGCCGATCCCGGTTGTGCTTGTGCGCTCGGCATTGCCATGCCAGTCATCCATTATGTGATGTGTCAAGCCGCCACACACACATTTCTGCTGGATGCCGGGTAACTGGCTTGACTTGACTCTGCCTCCTTTATAAGGATCCTCCATTCTCCACTAGAAGCTTCTAATATGCTGGCTTATGGAACGTCTACAGTTGAAGTATGTGCGACTCTATTTATTCACATATGCAGCGGCAGAGCTACCCTTTGTTGAATGCAAATAGTTTCCCCCTCTTCCCCAACCCTCTCTCCCCTTCCTTATTTCCCCTTCATCCTGCTTCTCTCCCTCCCCCTTTCCACCCTCCCACTTCATTCCCCCTCCCCTTTCCCCATCCCCACCTGCCCGCCCCATCCCCACCCGCTCTCCCCATCTCCCTCCCCCTCCCTCCTTCCCTTTCTCTTCCAGTGCGTCACCGCAGGTCGCCACACATGACTGTTGTTCAGGCCGCCACAGCACCACTTTTCACCGCACCAAATCCAGCAGTCAGCCCAGCTGTCGTTCTTTGCTCAGCGATGGCATCATACAGAGGGAAAATGCGTGTCACGGGAGGATTTCACAGCGGTGGCGGCGGCAGCACTGGCAGTGCCGCCACTGTTCCAGCAGATACAGATATATGAGGTGGGTGTGTGTGTGGGGTGGTTGTGTGGGCAGGGTGGTTGTGTGGGTGGGGTGGTTGTGTGGGTGGGGTGGGTGTGTGGGTGGGGTGGGTGTGTGGGTGGGGTGGGTGTGTGGGTGGGGTGGGTGTGTGGGTGGGGTGGGTGTGTGGGTGGGGTGGGTGTGTTTGGGGTAAGTGAGTGCCTCCCCAATTGCCTTCCCCCTATCCCTCTCTCTGTTTCTCTCTCCTCTTCTCTCCCCTCATCTCTCCCTTTCTCTCTCTTCCACGCTCATCGCTGCACCCCAAACGCAACTGGCCAGCAGACCTGCAAGGCCCAATGTAACACCCGTGTCTCTCCCCAAGAGCTGCGCTACTCCCAGTTGTCTCTGCCCTGTCCCCTCTTTCACTCCCCCTTCTGACTGAAATTCCCCCGACTGCATGCCTCCCTCCCGTGACCCGTCCTCTCTAACCTGCTGGTCCGCCTCCCCCCTGTTCATTCGCGCCTCTCCCAATCTCGTTTTCCTCTCCTCTCCTTTTCTCCCCTCTGCTTTCTCGCTGGCTGCCTTCCGCCTGTCTTCACCTGGTTCCCCCATTTGTTTCGTTGCCCTTCCCTGTCCCACTGCTGTCCCAATCAGCTGGGCACGCTGGCACAGCTGCTACAGGGCAGCGAAGTGGAGCACGTGGTGCTCGTTGGTATCACAGGGGCGTGCTGCTTGTGCGCACGTGACTGCTGCCGTATGGCTCGTTAGCCAAGCATGCACAATTGCATAGCAACCAATTGGAGCATGTTTAGTGGTCAGGGCAGGTGAGACGTGGGGCAGGTGAGGAGTGGGGCAGGCAAGGAGTGGGGCAGGTGAGGAGTGGTGCAGGTGGGGAGTGGGGCAGGTGGGGAGTGGGGCAGGTGGGGAGTGGGGCAGGTGGGGAGTGGGGCAGGTGGGGAGTGGGGCAGGTGGGGAGTGGGGCACGTGTCGTTCCCTCTCCACTTGCGTCCCAGTTCCCGTCTCCCCGTCTTCTCCCTCTCCTCGTCCTTTCCCGCTTCCACTCCTCCCTGAGTTTCAAACCCGACTCTTTTTTTCCCTCCTGTCTGCTTGGAGGAAACTTGTTCCTCCCTTGGCTTAGCTCCTCAAATTCTCACTCCTTTGTTTCCTCTCCTCCTCTCTTCCTCTCTTCTACTCTTCACTACCCACCATAACGCACACAGACCCAGCAACTCATGTGTGCCTCTCATCCCGCAGTGCTCTCATCTCACGCTCCCATGCATCAAGTCAGAGCGATACAGTAAAAGGAAGCATATCTCAGGACACTGTGGCAGTGCTGCTGGCGGCAACGCCAGCTGTGTTTCCTCCCCTCCTCCAATCCCCGTGGGCGCGTCTCATCAGTATCCGCCTCTCCCTGCCTTCCCTCACATCCGCTTCAGGGCGGCACCACGAGGGGCAGCGTGTTAACGGAGGATCTGGCAGCCGTGGTGCATTGAGCGCGTGCTGTCCTCCTCCCTCCCCCCCATGGTGCACAAGTAGTACTAGTGCATGCAGCCCGCACTGTCTCCCCGCTCCCCCACTCGTCCCTCCTCCATTGTTGAGTCGTCTCTCCTTGACCCCCCACCACCCCCTCAGGGCAACACCATGAAAGGAAGCGTGTCACGGGAGGATCTGGTAGCCGTGGTGGCGGCAGCGCTGGCAGTGCCACCGCCGTGCCGACAGAGACGCATCATTGAGGTGGGCGTGTGGGTGGGGCGGGGGGAGTGTTGGGTTCACATGGGTTTGTGGGGAGGTGGGTGTGTGGGTGGGGGTTTTGCCTGGGAGAAGTAGTGTGTGGTTGAGGGGGTGTGTGGGGGAGGTGGGTGTACTTGAGTGTGTGTAAGTATATGT